AAGAATAAGAATCCCAGAAAACTTAATTGTGCTCTTACTTAGACCAAGAAGCTATTGTCCAAACAGTATAAGGAAACACTCCATGATTTATATGGTTTAAAATCTGGTAAGGTGTGTGTCATAGGTACATCCTTTCTCCATATGTATTGAATCTGTGGGATGGACAAATCACTCGAGAAACTGGACTATATGAAAAATGTGGCATTAGGATCAGAGGAAGACTCATCAACAGTCTGTGTTAGGCAGATGACACAATCTTGCTTGATGAAAGTGAAGAGGGCTTGAAACACTTGCCGCAGAAGATGAAAGAATACAGCTTTCAGTATGAGTTCTATCTCAACATCAACAAAGCAAAAATCCTCCCCAGCAGACCAGTGAGTAACATTGTGATAGATGGAGAAAAGATTGAAGTTGCCAAGAATTTCATTTTACTTTAATCAGCAGTCAACATCCAGGGTAACAGCAGTCAAGAAATCATAAGACTTTTTGCTATGGGAACATCTATTGTCAAGGACCTCAAGTGCTAATGAGCAAGGATGTCAGTTTAATGACTAATACGTGCCTGTTCCAGGCATGATCTTCTCTGTTACTTGCTATGTGTCTAAAAGTTGGATAGTGACTCAGAGTGACAAAAGAAGAATCAATATCTTTGCATTGTGGTACTGAAGAACAGTACTGAATATCCCATGGACTGCCAAAAGAACAAACATATGTCTTGGAGAAAGTAGTCAGAGTGCTCCATAGAGACAAGGATGGTGAAACTTCATCTCAAATGCTTTTGACATATTCTCAGGATAGGCGAAGCCTTAGAAAAAGACATCATGTTGGGAAAGATCCAAGAAAAAGAGAAAAACCTTCAGCAAGGTGGATTGACGGTTACTGTCATGATGATCTCATGTGTAGAGATTTTAAGAATGGCTTAGCAGAGGGCAGAGTTCCTATTGTTCACTGGGTTGCTGTGGGTCATAGTTGACTTGATGGCACTTAACTATAATGCCAAAACAACAGCATGTGGTAGGGTGGAAACAGGAAAGTCAGTTGGCAAAGTCTTCAGCAGGCCAGGCCAGGCCTGGTTTAGCCAAGGCAGTGGAGATATACGGGGTCTGATTGCTGTGTCTGTGGTGAATTGAATAGCCAACAGGACTTTGAGAGATGCAAGAGTTGAGGAACCGGGTCACTGCTGCTTGACCTGAGCAGGAGGTAGAATGATTACTGCTGAAGTAGGGAGGGCTGGGCAAGGAGTAGGGAGAAGGCTAAGAGTTTGGTTTGGACTCATGATTTTGGAGTCCTTGAGTAGTACAAATGGCTAATACACTCAATGGTAACTGAAAGGAGTTCATGTCTTCTCAGATGTAGCATGGAAGAAAGGCCTGGCAGTCTGCTTACAAAAGTCAGCTACTGAAAACTCTGTGCAGCACATGTCAGAGTCAATTTGACCATAGCTGGGGTGTGGTTTGCTTAAGCAGGAGATGCTTGAGTGGTCTCTAACTGGTCTCTGATTATACCTTTCTGCTTTTGTTTCTTCTCCCTCTGAGATAATGTTATCTTTTTTTCCCAGTTGTTTGGTTGTTGTTTTTTTAAAAAATAATTTTGAATGATCATCCCTCAAACTTATCACTGATTCTTATAATAATTAAAACCATGAGCTCTCCTGGATATAGGGTGAATAACTCACAGCTTTATAGACTGCTTCCTCATCTTCCTCCTTTGTCAGATATCCCATCACAGGACAAAGTAGGAGCTAGAAATAGGGAGAGACATTTTCTGGGAAGTGCTCACCTCAGGTTATGTGACCATTAGGTCACAAGGGGTCTTGGTGGAATTGTGTCTAATGTATCAGGTTGCCAGTCAGAAGACCTGTGGTTCAAATCCATCGGGACAAATATGGACAGCTTTCCCCCCAAAAGATTTATGGCCTTGGAAATCTGATGAGTGTTGCCATAGAATCAACTTAATGGCAGTGGGCAGTCTTACAGATAGAACCTTTTACATGGTTACAAATGTTTCTCTTCAACTTGCCTGAATGTACAGTAGGACTTGAAAAGATACTTAATGGAGAGATTGGAACTCTTATTCACTGCTGGTGGGAGTGTAAAATGGCACTTTTCAAAAAATTGAAAATAGGAATACCATTTGATCCAGTAATTCCACTATTGGGAATATACCCTAAAGAAACCAAGAGGTGGCACCCAAACAGATGAATGCAAACCCATGTTTATTGCTGCCATATTCACAATCATAAAGAGAAGCAACCCAAATGCCCATCATCAAACAAATGGATAGAACATGATGATATAGTCATAGAATGGAATACGAGGCTGCACTAAAAAACAAGAAACTTGTAAAAGATTATATAACATGGGTGATCATGGAAGACATTATGCTGATTGAAGTATGTCAGTCACAAAAGGACAAATACTGCATATGCCACTGTTTTAAAACAGGACTGACATGCTGCAGAATTGGGGGGAACTAGGAAAAGGGGATAGATAATGAACTGCATTAGAACAGATGACGGAAAGAATTGTTTAAAGGGAATGTATGATTAGGCATTATTTGTATGACAACAATCTAGCATAAGAGGAACATTGCAAAAAGGACTCGGGGTGGGAGAGTGAGAAAATTGTCTAACAATGAATGAATATTTAAAAAGAAAAGAAAATAAATTGGGAGGAGGGAGGAAAATGTGCAACAATGAATGAATGAAAATTCAATTTTTCTGTAAACTATCATTAACATCACAATTTAAAACAAAAACAAAAAAAACCCCGAAAAATAAAAAGAGACTTACATGACAAATTGTAGTCTCTATTCAACTTTTCTTCATTTTCCCCACAGACTTTACTCAGGACCAGAGATATTCATATGTACACAGTTTAGTGGTCTTTTATTGTGTGTGTCTTGATTTTAGCAAGATGAAACAGAATGAGGATGAATTAGCAGATTATGTGGGCGGCTGGTTGAAAATAAACCTCTGTGGTATTCAAAACGAGCTATTCTTTGAACTAAGTAGGAAAGCATGGTGCCAAGGAACTTGTTATAATTGACTTAGAGAACTGCAGAAAGCACTTTAATAGGGGGTGAGCCTGGCATTGAGCTGCTGATATGCCAAGTAGAAATCCTGTGGAAAGCAGGGTTCAAATGGTCATGTGCTTGGAGGAACAGACATGTTGATGAGAGGCTAGGCTTGCAATGAGGAGATTAGTGAATGGCTGTGGGGCCTGGAGTGAGCCCTTTGTGTGGCTGAGGGAAGCCTGGTGAGCTGCCTAGCAAGTCTTGGCCCGGAGGACTCTAGGAAGCCATGTGGAAGTGTGGTGGTAAGGGCCAGGGGAAGGTAAAGACAAAGAAATGGACAATTAGAGAGTACTGAGAATGAGGTGAATTGTTGTAAGGAAGGTTCTAAGAGGGAAGCAGAAGGGTGAGCTGGGATCTGAATGGCAGAGGGGTGAAGTGTAGGAGAGGTTTCTGCCAGGAAGGAATTGACCCAGACTTGTTTGATTGTAAGAAGCTCAGGCCTCGAGATGTGTGGAAGTAGTTAACTACCTGAGGCCTCCTAATAGTAGAAGCCAAGCAGTAGAGTTGAGGTTAACAAAAGAATAGGAAGGTGGATCACACTTCTTGAGCTAAGTCCCAGGGAAGTAACTGAAAAGAACTAGAATAGTCTAAGGAAACCAGGTGCCAGAAGATTAGCCTCAGCTCCAGTATTGTCTTTGGGATGTTGCTCAGTCTGAAGTAGGCCCTGTCCTTTGTCAGTGCTCCTTGTTTTCCTTCTTCTGCCTCAGAGGTTTTCTGTCTAAGGTGGTGACGGTTGTCCTGCTAAAGAGATTTGTATTGGTGGATAATGAGAAATCCTGTTCTCAGCTTTATTGCTTAGCCTGTGGGCTCTGAACCTCCTAAGTAAAAGGACACACTTCCAGCTTTAAAGCCATGTATGAACTACCATAACCATCTCTCAGAAAGCCATTCTGTTTGTGATGTGTATGCTATTTTAGTATAAAATTACTTTCCCGAGAGATTACAGTGCTGTAACAGCAGGTAAAGTCTGAATGGGCTCTCTTCTCTGCTTTGCTGCTAGCAAGGAGAATGTGGAGCTTACTAGAGCTTTCTTAGAGCATGCTCTGCCTCTGTGGGAGGGGTTCAATGAATTCTGCTGGGCTTCCTGACAGAAACCTTGTGCGCTTCTGTGTGAACGGACTTCCAGATAATTAGACTGTGAAAGCCTGTCTAACCTTTGGCTATGTTCCTGTGGATACATATATGCCCAACTTAATATTTCCTGATAGTCGGGCTCTGTGGAGGGCTTGGGGTAACTTTTGATAATGAAGAAATAGATGTGACCCTTAGGTCAACTTTTGTATATAATGTTCATTGTTTGAACCCTCCCCCCTTTCCTAGGAATTAAAAGGTAAATATATTGGCCCTCAAATGAAAAAAAAAAAAACCACAGTCAATTCTTAAAAATACCCAGCAAAGCATTGAAAAACAAAGAACTCATGAAATATACAAAATGGGTGACCCTGGAGGACATTATGCTGAGTGAAATAGCTCAGTCACAAAAGGACAAATACTACATAGTGCCATTGTTGTAAAACAGGACTAACATCGGGCTAGGGGGAACTTAAGAAGAGGGGATAAATAATGCATACTGCATTGAAACAGATGAGGAAGAGAACTGTTTAAAAGGAATATAGGAAGAGGTACTATTTTCATGATAAGATCACAGAAAAAATGCATAGTAAAGTGGACTGTGGATTTGAGGGACGGATTATATAATAATTAGAGAATTTTTATTTTCAAAGAGAAAAACAAACTGGGGGGAGGGGTGGGCAGGGAGGAAAATATGCAACAATGAATGAATGGGAAAATTAAATGGAAAGAATATGCTGTAAAAATTATATATGTTGCATTAAAAAAATCATTAATAAAAGAAAATGAAAAAGAAAAAAAATACCCAGCAAATATAAACTTAAATTCACAGGTGTTTATTCTCTCTTCTTTAGGTTTTTTGCAAATGAGCCATTTGCTGACTTCCACCGAGTAGAAGGATTACAGGGTGTGTACATTGCTACTCTGATTAATGGCTCCATGAATGAGGAGAACATGAGATCGGTCATCACCTTCGACAAGGGAGGAACCTGGGAATTTCTTCAGGCTCCAGCCTTCACGGGCTATGGAGAGAAAATCAACTGTGAGGTATCAGTGCCTTAATCCTCTGGATTTTTCATGCAAGGGAAGCAGGGATGGTCTGCAGCAGTTCCTGACATTGTATGTTTACTGGAAAATGTAGCATCACATCATAGTCTATTACTAAACCATGGAAATGAACTTTGATCTGTATTTCTATCCTTGTAGTTCCAGACCTTTGTGTACTCACAGAGCCACCATAATATTTTACATTTTTTGAGGGAAACACTGTGATACTCTCATGTGTTGTATACTATCAGATTTTCCTTGCTTGAAGTAATTCACAGTCTAACCTTAGAATATGCCCCATTCCTTCTAAAGACATAAAAACTTTGTGGGGCTGGATTTTCAATAGTTGATGTGATAGAAGAAATCAGAGAGGGCAGGAGCTGCAGGTTGTAGTATTCCACACAATTCCAAGAGTTGAGAAGTTGTACAGTGCCCAACAGGTCTACTCATCCCATTTGTAAGTAATTGTGGTTTATTTAAGAATGAAACACAAATTATATTTTTTAATTCTTTTATCTGTATTACATTTCCAAAGTGTTACTAAGTTACTTGTACATAATTTGTTTGTTGTTGTGTATCATAGACTTGGAACTGACCCACAGCTGACTCTGCAGTAGGTTTTCAGAGATAGTTAATCTCATGCAAGGAGATTGTCCATCCTTCTCTCAAGGTACAGCTGGTGGCCTAGAACCACATGCCTTTGGGATTGCAGTGCAGTTTCTTGCCAGTAGGCCACCAGATGTTATAATAAGTTTATTAGGACATAACCTATTTGTTATTAAAAGTTATTAGGACATAACTTGCATATACTTATTTGTTTGGATTTGACTATTTAACTATATAAAATAAATTGGTATTTCTTTTTGCCTGAGGATGCTATTAAAAAAAAATACCAGCATCATGCAACATATACAACACATACCACCTAGCATCACTTGGGCAACACCCAAATATATACAGCCACCATTGCAACCTCTGTAAAGCCTGTTTTAAACATTTAAGGTACATTTAATGGTTTGTGATAATAAACAGGTGCTAATTTGCAGAAGACATGAAAATAATATATTTTTCTCTCTCTCTCATTGCTGTCAAAAAGGAACTCACTGATAGGTGAACCTTCCTTGAGTTTTTGAGATGTTTCTATATATCGTGAACTGTTTCAATTTACATACAAGTTTCCCTTGAAGACAGACTTAGAAAAGGGAACTCATTCATAATTCACGAACTGCCTATATATGATGTTGTGTTCATGTAATGCCTAAATGACATGATGTATTATTTCACAGATAGCTATGTGGCTGTTAAGTACATATGACTGTTGTTGTGTTTGTTGCTATGTGCCATTAAGTCACTTGCAACTCATAGTGCCTATATGTACAATGGCCCTGAACCCCGTTCTATCTTGAGCCAACTTCATTTTCTCTAACACAGCTATTTCCATTACCCCAGTCACTGAATCAATCCATTTCATCGAGGGTCTTCCTCTCTTGTGCTGTCCCTCCACTCCCCCAAGCATGACGTCCCTATCCAAGGACTGGTCCCTCCTGGCAATGTGCCTAAAGTATGCTAGACAAAACTTCAGAATCATTGCCTCCAAGGAGCAGCCTGGTTTCACCCTCTCCAAGACAAACCTGTTTGTTCTCTTAACAGTTCGTGGTATATTCAATACTCTTCTTCAGTACAACTCAAAGGCATCAATACTTCTTCTGTCATCCATAGTCATTCATTGTCCAGCTCTCTGATGCATAGCAAGTAATTATAAAGACCGTAGCGTAGCCTGGATCAGATGTACTTTAGTCTGTAGATTGACATCCATACTCTTCAGTACTCTAGTGAGGTCCCTGACCTCAGATTTTTCCGTTGCAGGCAGTTTCTTTTCATTTCCAGGCTGCTCTAGGAACTCCCCTTTGCTCAGTAGATTCTTCTAGGCCTCAGGGCGCTTTGTGATCCTAGTGTGGGTAAGGTGGGTGGTGGTCAGTGTGATGTGGAGGTTAAATAGGATTAATATTATTGTTAAGATTTAAGTATGTTTCTTTGTTTAATTTATTTATGAATTATAAGATAGTTTGTTTTTCATTTGTTTGGCTTTTAGATGATGAAAGAATGCCTTGAAAAAAAACAGACTCTACCAATTGTTGTTGTATATGGTTTGGCTCGAGGCACCCATGTATTTCAGAGCAGAACTGTGCTCTGTTGGGCTTTTATGACTGTGTTCTTTTGGAAGTAGTTTGCCAGGCCTTTCTTCCAAGGTATTTTCAGTTTACAATTGAGAATCTGACTTTTTAAAAAATATTTTTTATTGATTTTCATATAGTAATACCTTTACAGTATGTCTCATTCATATACATTTTCCCCTACTAGTTTATTTACAAAATTTGAATACAAATTTGAACAAATTATTTCAATTTCCCTCATCACCACCTCCCATCAAATTGTACAACCCAATGATTAATTCCCCTGTCCCCCTGCACATCCACATCCCTCTGCTTCCAGCCTCTCCCAGCCCTCCTGGATCCTTATACTCATTCTACAATAATAGTCCAGGGATGAGACATATTGAAAATGTGATTACTTGAGGAACTTAAGTGCATAGACTTTCTTGTAAGGGATAAAATAGGGGACTACATCAGAAACGGAGAATTGGTGAATACATATTTTCTTGAGACCTAGTCTGATATTCTTTTATCAAACTGTGAAGCTAGAAGACGGATATTTATTAAAGAGATGCTTTTGTGACAGAAATAAGTATCTCTAGCATGCTTTGTCACAAGTGTCACTTGCACCACATACACCCACAGTGTTCCCCCATATGGAATGTGGGGCTTAGTCAGATGACACGATTGGCAGTCACTTTCTAGCTAGGAGAGTGAGGCATGGCCCCCATGCTTCATTCTTTCCAGAGTCTAAGGGTGAGGTGGTCAGTTTAAGTAGCTTGAACCTTTGCACTGGACAGTCACACTTTTGTACAAATGCAGATCAATTACCTTCTTCCGTCTGCCCTTCCATCCTCATTGCTCCCTGGACTCTCCCTCCTGCTCTTCCTGCCCTTTCCCTTCTTCTCCTCCTTCAATTACTTATACTATGATATTATAAATAGAAGTAAGGAAATATTTGTCATTCAACATTTTGACACGTGTAGGTCAGTGGCATTAATTCTGCTCAACATGCTGACTGCTTTTCAAAAAATTTAGTGTGAATCATTTGAAAATGGTGGTATTTTGGTGTTTGCATGTTATAGACTATTATCTGGGGTCTTATCAAAGAGACATTATAACTTTTGATTCTGGGGTTTTCCTTCTGACAAAATTGCTGAGAACATTTCTGAAACACATCTGCCCTGACTTAGATGATAAGTACCAAGAAATCTTTTAATTTCCTTTTAGTTCTGAGTCACTTGAGAGGACCTTTGTGTGATAAGAAGAGAGCAGTACCTTTCCCATTTACTTGAGGAACCTGTTGACACTGACTCCTAATGGTTGTTCTTTGAGAGTCTAGAAGAATTTATTGTTATTCTCTTCACTGTGGGACATTTATGTGGGTTCACTTGAAAATCTCCATCTGGCGAGGTGTGGAGACAGCCAGGCCCTAAGTCTGGCTCCCTTTGGGCTAGGCTGCTCTGCTCTGGTCCGGTGTCAGCGTCCTCTCACATAAATCAGTGTTGAGAGAGAAGGAAATGTCAGCATCTTGCTGTGTGCTGACACTGTCTGTAATTTTTGTTCTTGTAGCTTTCCCAGGGCTGTTCCCTCCACCTGGCCCAGCGACTGAGTCAGCTGCTCAACTTCCAACTGCGGAGAATGCCCATCCTGTCCAAGGAGTCGGCTCCTGGTCTCATCATTGCCACTGGTGAGCTTTCTTTTTCTGACTTCAGGATGAAGCTGTCAGATGGTGTGCAGCCAGAGTCACCACTGATGTCACCAGAGTAACCTCCGTGCCTGGTTGTCGGACAGTATTTCTTGTTGCGTGTCACTGTGGTTAGCTGACATCATGTTGGCCTCGACTCGTGGTCACTCCATGCAGATGAAACAAATTGCTGTCTGGTCCCGTAGCATCCACCATCAGTGAGGATCAACCCCCTGCAATCCCCGGGGTTTTCACTGGCTGACTTTTTGAAGTACCAGGCCTTTCCCCCTAGTTTGTCTTAGTCTGGAAATGCTGTTGAAACTTGGACAGCATTATAACCACATGGACATTATCGTCATTGAGAAATGGGTGATAGTTGCACATAAGGTGCCTTGTCTGGGAGTTGAACCTCTCTCTGTCTCTTGCATGGAAGGCAAGAATTTTACCATGGAACCATCATGGCCTCCATAGTTGTTAAATAAAAACAACCTAACCAAACCATCACTGGGTTGTCTCACTAATGATGGCCCTTCATTGGGTTTCTATTACTGTAAATCTTTATGGGAGGAAACTGCCACTTTTATTTTTGGCTGCTGAGTTTGAACCATTGATCTTTTTGTTAACAGCCAATGCATAATATGTTCTGTGTAATGGGTTAATAATGTGTTCATAACATATGGAGCCAATACTACCATGGCTCTTTTTATTGTTACATGCTGCTATGTACCTTTGAGTCAGAACTGACCCATAGCTGGCCTCCAGCGACTTTTTCAGAGGCAGGCGATTGCACAAGAGGAGATTGCCCATCTTTCTTTCACAGGGCAGTTGGTGGAGTTGAACCAGATGCCTTTGGGTTGGTATCACATCTCCCTACTACTAAGCCAGCCAGAGCTCCTTGGCTATTGCATAGTGCTCTGAAATCCCCATTAAGAGTACTGACCCACTCTTTTTTTTTTCCTTAAATTTTATTATTTTTTGTGTATGTACTGTCAAATCAGATCTGACTGGTACAGGAGGAGAATTCCCCTCCCTCCCAGCAGAGCATCTGGTGGATTTGAACCATGTACCTCTAGGATTGCGGTGCAGCTTCTTGCCACTAGGCCACCAGAGCTCCCCCTGACCCACTCTTGACGTTAAACAACAGTCATTTCTGTGGAACAAAACTCAAAATCATAAAATAAATCTGGCTTTTTGTCCTATAGAGACCAGCTGAACCCCTAAGACATGGTGACCCTTCATGCCTGGAACTGAAATCACCTCCATGACTGAACTTTAGGCAGACTGGAGAGGTGACTAATGTAAGGTGATTAATGACTCCAGGAGGAACACACTCCTTAGAATACTCATCTGTTCAGGATTAAAGGGATGGTGTCTACCCTGAGATTTATCTCAGGATGCAAGAAGGGATAGGCAAGAAGGATGAGTGGAAATGACAGACATAGGGAGGGACTAGGAAGAATACTGTTACAATGTGGGAAGTGTATTCAGGGTCATGAAATGTAAAGTATTAGGAATTGTTGAATGGAAAACCAATTTGCTCTGCAAACTTCCACTCAAATAAATGCAAAGGTTTTTTTTTTTTAAAAAATCATAATACAAAGTTATATGTATTTTATATTTTATATTGTAGGTTCTGTGGGAAAGAATTTGGCCAGCAAGACGAATGTGTACATCTCTAGCAGTGCTGGAGCCAGGTGGCGAGAGGTCAGTGTGCGTCATTCCACTCCCCACCCCAGCCCAACTCACCCTTTAAGTACTTGTTTGTATGAGAACATGAGTGGTGCCTCTGTGTTTCAGGGATACATGTGGCCTGAGATGTCAAGGCCAGAGGAGCAAAGTATGATCTCAAAGTAAAGAGAGAGCCAGCTGAGAGTCAGCTGCAATAGTTTTCATCCATGCCTTGCGATGTAGACTCATGATGCCAGCAGAAATATTACTGTATGTCCCAGCTTGACAGGAAAATCAGCTGTGTATTTTACTAAATAACGCAGGATTCTGTGAGGGCAAAGATGCTGTCCTTTTGCACTTATTTTACCCCCCAACATGTGCCAGTTGCTGGCATGGAGTTGAGATACACCAATCTCCCCTGACTGTCCCCATAAATTACAGTGTAACTCACTAGTGAAGCCGGAGGGCTGTCATATCTGGAAACTTTGATCTTTTTGTGTGTTTGCTATTGGAGTTCAAGTCCTGCCCCTCCTCGCTGTGCTGTGTTGTATGGATTGTTTCAGCATACTCTGTGCTGCGGAAGGAACTGTGCTTGTCCCTAGAGTTGAGTAACTGACTCCTTAGCCTCTGATTATACCTGCCCTGAAAGTGGAGCTGGTCCTGACATCCGGAAATGCGGACGTGGTCCTTGGACATGAAAGAATTTCCAAACTTGTAAAATTACAAGCTTAACCAGTCTCCTGTGACTTATTAATGCCCAGGGAAGTACTTTGGTCTCGTTAGGGTGGGTTTGCCCTCAGTGGCATGTTGGTGCATGTGTGGGGAACCCCTAGTAGAAAGCAGTAGATAACGCCTGAGTGCCATGTCAGGAGTGATGTGAGGTTCTCAAGAGCACTAGCCGACCACGCACTCATCTTCATGGTAATTGGAGCACAGTTTACACACATTTACATATGGATTTGTGCAATGTAAGACCATAGCAATGGCTGCCTAATGTTCACTGACTCTTTGCAGTTAACAGGGACACATACTTGCCCTCCTGTGTGGTAGGTCTTCCCATCCATCCTTCCTAACTCAGGCACTTTGTGTTTATGAGTGTGAGTGTAAGTGTAAGTGTGTGTGTGTGTGTGTGTGTGCGCGTGCACGCGTGTGTGTATTATGGGCTGTGCATTATGGTGGTGAACAGAACTACACATTGAGATAAGGGAAGTTACTTAAGGCCAGAGTCATCACAAAGTGTGAACAGCTTGGGATTTTCATCCTTCTCCCTTGGGAATGATTAAGCAGCTGCTTCCACCCTCCTTGGATCCAGATAGTCCTTTTAAATTTGAGTGCTCTCTCCTCTATGAATAGGCTTGAATTTTGCTGTGCTTTCCAATACTGGTGTAATCTGGGATTGGGACATCTGCAAGTAATTTCCTTCTGGATGGAATCAATGTCTTCCCCCAGTGCAGTGGGACTGTGGGGTGAATGAAGCTAGCCAGCTGTCAGTGTTTCCCTCCCGGTGTGCTAACCACTGGCCAAGAAGCAGCCCCTTTATGAGGGACCTCATTTGTGGAAGCTCTCTCTGTCAGTGTGGAGAAGTCCCTTAGCATTCTGAGTTTGTTGAGAGTTGTTTAATCACGATTAACTATTGATTTCTGCCAATTGATTTCTCTGCATCATTCAGTGGCATAAAACAACAACATTATCAGATGATGTGGATTTTGTTATTTTTCAGTTAATTTGGTGAATTACATTTATTGATTCTTTTAATTGTGGTGTGTATGTATACATATATCTCAATATTTACCATTTCAGTAATCTTTTTCTTTTCTTCTTGATTCATTAGTGACTTGCCAGTGTTGTTGATCTTTCTAAAGAAACCTGCTTTTTGCTTTGCTGATGATCATTTCTGCTCTCTGTGTGTTTCTATTTCATTGATTTCTACTCTGATATGTTTTCACTTTCCTTTCAAATTGCTTTAGATTTATGTTGCTCTTCTTTCTTTTTCTAATATATGCATTTTTCATTTAAACTGTTAAAGTTACAGATATAGATGTGTTGCATTTTTGTTCCTATTCAGGTAAAAATATTTTTTAGCTTGACTTTTTAAAAAAAAGTGGAGCTATAATTGTTGTTATATGTCATTGAACCGACCGTGATCATAATAACTCTGCGTATAGAAGCTCCAACCCCTGTTCTATCCTAAGCCAATCTCACTGTCTCTGACACACTCTCCTCATTATACCAGTTTCTATGTCAATCCATCTCATCTGGGATCTTCCTCTCCTATACTGTCCCTCCAGCCTTACAAACATGATGTCCTTCTCCAAGGATCAGTCTCTTCTGGCCACATGACAGAAGTATATGAGATAGAGTTTCAAATCCCTGCCTCCTACAAGCAGCTTAGTTTTACCCTCTTCAGGACAGACCTATTAGTATTCTTGGCAGTCCATGGTATGTTCGGTACTCTTCTCCAGAACCACAACTCAAAGGCATCAATTCTTCTATCATCTGTGGCCATTCAGCTTTTTGTTGTATAATGTAATTGTGAAGACCATGGCCTGAATCAGGCACACCTTAGTCTCTAGACTGACATCATTGCTCTTCAGCATTCTGGAGAGATTCCTTACAACACGTTTTTCTAATGCAATTCATCTTTTGATTTCCTGACTGCTGGTGCCAGGAGTGTTGATTGTAGAACCAAGCAAGCTGAAATTGTTGACAACCTCCGTCTTTTCTCCATCTATCATGGTGCTTGCTACAGATTCATCGACTGGTGAGAATCATTCTTGATATTGAGCTTACATTCATATTGGCATATCATTTTTAAATGCTACCATTTTGAAATGTACAGTTCACTGGATTTTAGTTATCCACAAGCCTGTGCCAGACATTACACTACCAACTTACACAGTGTCCCTTTTGACTTTGACTGATAAGTTTTTTAGAAAAGCACTCTTTTCAGTTATTTGGAGTTTTTGTAAATATTTTTCTTCTATTTCCTGTTATTATTGTCGTTAGGTACCATCAAGTCAACTACAACTCAAACTGACTCTATAAACAACGCATCTGAACTCTGCCCTATCTTGGGTGATCCTCTTGATTTCTGATACGCTCCAACCCATTGTTAAAGTCACTGTGCCAATCTGTCTTGTTGAAGATCTTCCCCTCTTTCACTGATCCTCCACCTTTCCCTTTTAATAACATTTCCAACATATGTGAGATGAAATTTCACCAACCTTGCCTTTAAGGATCACCCTGATTGCACTGTTTCCAAAACAGACTTGTTTGTTCTTTTGGCAATCCATGGAATATTCAATACTATTCTCAAAGATCACATTTCAAAGGCTTTCTTTTTACCACACTTCTGTCATCCTTATTCATTGCCCAACTTTCAGATGTATAAGAAAAAGTTGAAAAAGACCATGGCTGGCTTTGATAGGTATCCTTTTGTTTTTTAAACGGACACTCTTGCTTTTTAGCACTTTTGAGAGGCCGTGACAGCAAATTTTCCCTGTAGTCAGAGAGTAACTGCTTGCTGAATCGTTTCTATCACTGTATGTGTTTTGAGACTTGTTTTGTGATCTATCTGGGAGAGTGTATCATGTACACTAGAAAGGAATATGTATTCTGTAAGAAGCTATTGTCCAAACAGATACGGGATTACTGCATGGTTCAAAATAAAGAAAGGAGTGTGTTAGGGGTCTGTCCTTTTTCCAATCTATTCAGTCTGAAGGCTGAATAAATAATTTGAAAAACTGGGCTCTATGAAAAAGAAAGTGACATCAGGATTGGAGGAATACTCAACAACCTACGTTATGCAGATGACACAGCCTTGCTTGCTGAAAGTGAGGAGGACTTGGACACTGTGGTGTTTGAGTTAGGTGACTCATCCTCTGACGTCAAAGTAGGAAACTCTCTGTAAGAGTTCCTATCAGTCTACTACCCAGCGCTTATTGGTTAGGGAAGGGTTGTTAACACTCTGAACAGGCTCTTGGGGAAGTCTGCCTAATTGTTACTGGAGAACTCTGTGTGATATATTGGCTGTGTTTGTAGCCTTCACTGAGGGTGCCCAACACAAAGCAGGCTCAGTCAGCAGTCTTCAGTAGGAAGAGGCGGGGGAAACAGACAAACCCAAACTGATCTCTAGGCATATCTGTTTTGTGTTGACTTCAGAGGCGGAAGGCATGGAATATTCAGGGAGACAGGTAGAGTGCTAATTATTGTAAGGACTCCACTGTGGGAGCAGCAATTTGCAACAAGCGTACAGTGAGGTGGGGATGTCATGCTCTCGTCAGATCTCTGTGGAGGTCTCCTCATTTACTAAAAGGGTTCCTTTGGTAAACTCACAGATTGTTGTCTGTGAGTGCAGCCTCCAGTTCTGCTCCCTGGCACACAGCCACCAAGTACATACTCCGCAGTGACTAGAAGTGGTAACAGACACCCTCAGTCACCTCCAGGGTGACAAACCTGTCCTGTGGGTTTCAGAGGCACAGCTGTGGGGACACGGGAGGCAGATATAATGCTGACTAGGGGAGCAGACTATACTACACGGTGCCTAGTGTAGCAATTTTCAGGAGTTTTGCAGGTGACAGGGACCAAGTAGAGAAGGGTTTTCACACTCCAGATGGGCTCTTAGGGAGGTCTCCCTTGCTGCTGTCAGAGCCCCTCTATGGAATGTTGACTGTCAGTACAGCCTCCACTGAAGACACTTGTTTCCTTGCATGCAGCGTCCTCAGTCAGCCGTTCTTACCAGCAGTTGAAAGGGGTAGAAGACAGACTTGAGCTGACTTCTCAGAAGTCTGTTGATTTCCGAAGCCTGAGCTGTTGGGTGTGTAAGGAGGTCAGGAGAGTGTATATTCTGGGAGTAGACTCCTCTGCAGTTTGCAGCAGACTTGCCAGTGACAACTTGACAGTGACGATGTTTTGACAGGGGAGGTACCAGTACGCCCCAGACAGACCCGCACCGAGGTTGCTATCAGCGCCTGCCCTATAGTATGCTGACAATTGCTATAGCTTCTGCCTGCTTCTAACAGAGCACCCGCAGCTCAGCCAGCATTCCTCAGCACAGGCTGAAAGCGGGGGCAAATAAGGCCTGGCCTGAATCCCTGGGAGGTCTGTCTTGTTGATTTTAGATACCTGAGCCATGGGGAAGAGCAAGAAAGCAGGTGGAGTATTGACTGGAAGAGCCATGTCCCCTGCAGGGGCCTTCTGTGGCCATGGACAGTAGGTTTACAACCAGCAGGGTCCAGGTGGGAGTGGTGCTGCCACACTGCAGATGGACCCCTGGACAGTCTGCCTTGGTGATTTAAGAGCAGCAGCTGACTCTTTGTACAGATGGGGGCTGTAGTGGTTAGCTTCTTTTTTCTGGGGCTTCTTCCCAGGTCACAATAGTCAGTGACCTTCATGACTGACAGTGACAATGACGGGGGCGGGGGGGAAGGGGGAGGTGTGAAAGGGGGGAGTGATTTTCCTATTGTATGTGATTTGTCGTTGATCCATTAATTCTTGCCTATTTTCAGTTTTCTACCTCCTTCTTCTTCCCTTTGATTCAGGATCCCTCAAAGCTGAGCACGGTTTCCTGGTTGTATTTCTAATTATATTTATGAGCAAAGGATGTCCCAGAATTCTGTGGACAATTATCTTTTCAATTTGTCAACTGTATTTCCCTTTACTGTATGGAACAAAGTTATAAAAGCTATTGAAAGTCTGTGATAATTCTAACATTTGGATTCTTTTGTGACTGGAGTCTATTGATTATGTTTTACCTTGAAATTGGATACATTTTACAAATTCTTTATATGCTAAATAATTTTGGATTATGTCTTGACATGGGAATGCTGTATCATGTAGACTGTTTCACTTTGTAACCTTCTAAGACTATTTAGATGGAGATCCTAAGTTTGTTTTTTCTTCTGTGAATGGTAGTTCAAATCTCAGTTTAATTCTCTAAGCCTGTGTGATTATTATTTGGGTCTCTTGCGCCCATACATAGTACCATTGTTAGGCTAAGGGTTTTGTGGTTTCTGACATATTACTCGAGGCTTGGTATCTATGAAACTCTTCCTTCTGGCATTCAATGGCTTCTTTTCCTGGCTCCTTCAGGAGTAATTGCTATGGGAGTTTTTTGTCTACCAGGATCAACCTACTCACTCATCACCAGAATCTTCCCTCAGGGCAAAGCTGTACCAGGAATCTGGTGACAAATATTTTGGTAACTTCTTCAGATTTGGATCCCTTCCACAAACTGCCAGCTGTTGTTAACTTTTCTTTCTTTTTTTTTTGTTGTTGTTGTTGTTGTTGTTAACTTTTCAATACTCTCAGGTTGCTGCTTTTGCACTTTGCCCAGAATTTTCGATACTGGAAGAATAGGCAGTAGTGAGCTTACACTACTCTAGTAGCTCTAGAACTCAGTTTGTCATCCCTTTTTGGTAAGAGTCAGAGATGGAAGTTTGATTCCTACCTCTGCTGTTTATAGTCTACCTCTTTAGCTGGATTTCAGGAAAAAGAAAAGTTGAGATACAACACCTTGTTCTTACCAGCCCTTAGAACTGTATGGAGCAGGTGAGATTAGGGATATATGTTTACACCCTGTGAACTGAAAAATTATACTCAAGTACAAGTGGATGGCATCCCTTCCTCTATGTGTGTGTGTGTGTGTGGGGGGGCTGCCACACTGCAGATGGGGGCTTTCACCCTTGACCCACCTTCCCAGTAGTGGTATCACTGTTCCTTTTCCTCCTTAGGCACTTCCTGGACCTCACTACTACACATGGGGAGATCACGGTGGCATCATCATGGCTATTGCCCAGGGGATGGAGACCAATGAACTAAAGTAAGTGTCTTTTATTCAGCCTTTGCTTAAATTTATTTTATTTCCTATTGTTGCTGTTGAGATACAACATACACTAGTTCAACAGTTTCTACAAGTACCATTTAAAGACGTTGACTGTTCTTTTATTTGTAAAACCATTCTCAGCTTCCTTTTCGGAGTTGTTTCTGTAAGTTCACTGATCCCTAACATTCCTTCCTGATGTTTTTAGTTGCTTTTGTCAGTTTGATTCCTTATAGATATTTCTCAAAATACCATGATGCGTAAGGCAGACTTTTTTTCACTCATTAAGCTAACCTGTTGTTTGATTTTAAGAAGACTTGAGAATATTTTTGTTTTGAGATTTAAACCCTTTGGTTTGAGGATTTTGTCTAGCCATCATAGCATGTAAGTGTGGATTCTATGAGAAATTGAAATTCTCTTCTGCATTTTCTATCTTTTGATCATGATTCTTATGAAATATTTGATCAAAATGTTCAATTTTGGTAGCCATACCAAACTCACTATCAATTCTGACCTACAGTGACCCTGGATTTTTGAAACTGTAAATCAGTGTGGGGGAAAAACTGTTGGTCTTTTTTTCTGTGGAAGAGCAAGTAGACTTGAATTCCTGACCTTTCATTTGGCAGCACAACACATAGCTCACTGTGCCACCAGAGTTCCTTACAGTAGCCAATAACCTTTTTCTTTTAACATCAAACTTTTTATTTAGAAATTTAAGGTCATGATTATAAGCAGATTTTCTTTCTAGAATAAAAAACAAACCCACGGCTATCAAGTCAATTGTTTTTCACAGTGATAGCACAGAGCAGAGTAGTGCTGCCTCATAGGGCTTCCAAGGCTGTAGTCTTGAGAGAAACAAACTGCCCATCTTTCTCCTGGGAAGTAGCAAGTGGGTTTGAACTACTGAGCCTTCAGTTAGTAACATTCAGGAACCAATTATGTAAGTAAACGCTGAGCCACCAGGGCACCTTCTGTCTGTCATCCTCAACTCACTCACTGTCCTAGAGTCTGTTTAATTCATACTGATCCTCTGTTGAGTTTTCTAGTGTATGAATCTTAATGGGAGAACACTGACCCTTTTTCTCCTGTGAAGGTGCTGGTAGATTTGGTCTGCTAGAGAAGCCTGGCCTTTGGGTTAGCAATGCAACTAGCCTAACTATAGACTACAGCACTGTTTAAATTTCTGCCCATAATATTAATTAGCACAATTTGTGATTCCAGGAAATCAGGTAAATATTCTGTTTTTTATAAAGTAGTTATAATACAATAACCTGCCTTTCTTTTGTCAAAAGACTATTGTGACGACCAAATACAATGTTTTATGTCACAAATAGGTCTGTCGTTTAGAAAGTAAAGTAAGGGTGCTTCTTGGCGACAAGGATGGTGAAACTCTGCATACTTTGGGTTTGTTGTAAGGAGGGAGCCAGTCCTTGGAGAAGGACATTGTACTTGGAAAGGTAGAGGGTCAGTGTAAGAGAGGAAGACCTTTAATGAAATGTATTGACACAGTGATTATAAGCGTGTCTGAGATGCTGAGGATGACATAGGACAGGATAGAGTTCACAGGGTCATTGTGTGTTGTAGTCAACTTAATGTCTCAAAACAACAACATCATACATATACTTACTGCAAAGTGTCAAGGACTGCAGCCTACAATATGGATTGAGGCTCTATGTCAAGAAGACAAAGATTCTCACCACTGGGCCAATTGGCAGCATCAGGATGGATGGTGAAGAGATTGAGATTGTACACAGCTTTAGTTTGCCTGGCTCCATAGTCAACAGTCTTGGCACCAGCAGCCAGGAAATTGAAAGGCGCATTGCCATGGGAAAGTCTGATGTTAGGGACCTCTCCAAAGTGCTGAAGAGCAGTGGTGTCTCTCTGGAGACTAAGGTGCGTCTGATACAGGCCATGGTCTTCGCAATCACCTGTTATGCATCAGAGAGTTGGACAATGATCAAGGAGGATAGAAGGAGAATTGATGCCTTTGAGCTGTGGTGCTGGAGAAGAGTATTGAGAATACCATGGACTGCTAGGAAAACAAACAGATTTGTCCTGGAGAGGGTTAAACCAGGTGGCTCCTTGGAGGCAAGGATTCTGAGGCTCCGTCTAACTTACTTTGGACATGTTGTGAGGAGAGACTGGACCTTAGAGAGGGACATCATGCTTGGGAGGGTGGAGGGACGGCGCAGGAGAGGAAGGCCCTCTATGAGGTGGATTGATTCCGTGACTGGGATAATTGGGATGGGAGTGTCAGAGACAGTGCGATTGGCACAGGACAGAGCAGAGTTTAGGGCTGTTGTACATAGGGTCGCTATGAGTCACAGGCGACTCGACGGCACATAACAACAACAACACAAACATTTATACTCTTTGTGTATGACCCCAAAATAGAAATTTACCTAGAGAACCAATGACTACATGTAGCTACTATGAGTCAGAGCCAACTCAATAGCTCCTAACAAGAGTAAGTCTGTCTCTGAAATACAGATCAGACGCATAGTCTGCCTTCCTGGGAATATGTTTCATTCTTTGTACTGCATTCGGGTTTTAGAGTCAATTCTTTCTTTCCCTTGTGCAACTTGTCTCCAGGTTACTTTTGCATTCAGAGTGGCTTCTTAAAAGTAGTTAGCATGATTCTAGCCCTCTTACACCATCTGTTGGTGCATGTGGGTGCAGAAACTGCAGCATCATTCCTGGAGCATAACCTGCTGCCGGAAGATCACTGTGCCCTTGCTAAAAGAGGGATGCAGAGGCTGTAGGCTCTGGGGATTATGGAAGCTGTGGGGCTCACTCCTCTGTAAAGGTCATTTGAGGGTGTTTGTCTGTAAGGTTCATTTAAAGCATTTGTAAATATGTAAACAGATGTGAGTCTCCGGTTGGCAAGTGCCCTTACACTATCCTGTCTGGCAGGGCCAAAATCCGGCAAGCACCTGGCATTTACTCAGCATGTTGCCCAGAGAGGTACTTACTTCTCCTGCTGCCCAGCTCTTAACCTGTCACTGTCCATCGTCAGCCTCGCCAGACCAGGAATAGGAAAAGATATCGATGTTAAGTTAGTGTCAAACCTCAAACTATAGCGATTTACTGCCATACCCATGCTTGAGAGGAGATAGCTTTTGTAAAGCTAGCTATCTGTTGTTCGTCTAAGGCTTCAGGCCCTTTTTAAGTCTAACCTCCACAACCATTAAGTGCCCTCCCTCTCTTTTGAGTCTCCTTGCTATGACTTTGACATTGATCAAGTACCGGCTGCTTTTGCTAGTTACCCTGGCATTATATGACTGAATTCCTCAACTCTAGTAAGGCCTTTGGAGGCAGTTCTACACAGGCTAGCAATATTTGATTGATCAATAAATAGGCCGTGCACACTTTGTCTTCTAGGATTGCCTTTTTGGGGGTATTTTTGGTATTTTAACATTTTATGGCTTTGCAGAGTTGGCAGGGAGCTGCACTGCCAGTCACTCAGACCCAGGGAGCACTCCTGCTGTGCTCTCCAGAGCTGACTCCCCAGGGCTCTGCTGTGAGTGGGTGTCCCCTAGAGGCTTGCACCTGGCAGCACAAATGAGGTCTCGGGTCTAATCACCTTCCTCAAATTTCATCTGAGCAAATAATGCAATTTTTCAGTTGTTAGAGCACCGGCTGAAACTGGGGCATAATTCTGATAGAAGTCTTTTCAGGTCAATTACACAGACATCTGTTGAACATCTTCTGTGAATCAGACGTTGTGCTAGATACTGAGAAGCAAAGGTGCGTGAGGGAGGCAGAGTTGAGGTGCTGCCCTTGACTGGGCTGATGTGTACTCTCCCTGTGTCAGGAGGAGAGAGAGGCCTGGGGACAGCCCAGTTTAGGGAGAAGAACCAGCTGGGGTCCCACCTGTAAAAACAGGTCCTGTGTACAAAGAACATTGTTTAAAATGAGAATGAGGCTTTTATTTAATTTACTTTGATGGTTGTTGTTGTTGTTATGTGCTGTCAAGTCACTTGCGACTCATAGTGACCCTATGTACAACAACCCTAAACTCTGCTCTGTCCTGTGCCAGTCACACTGTTTCTGACACACCCATCCCGATTACCCCAGTCACTGATTCAATCCACCTCATAGAGGGTCTTCCCCTCCTGCTCTGTCCCTCCACCCTACTAAGCATGATGTCCCTCTCCAAGGACCGGTCCCTCCTTACAACATGTCCAAAGTATGTTAGACAAAGCCTCAGAATCCTTGCCTCCAAGGAGCCACCCGGTTTAACTATCTTCAGGCTGAATTTGTTTGTTTTCATAGCAGTCCATGGTACCCTCTTTTAAATTATTAGTATTTTTCCGTCCCTGGTCAGCACAGCTAACTAAGAGTTGGCTGTTAATTGTTTCTTCTTTTGCCTTGGTTCTTCACTGAAACTTTTGGTTTTAGGAATTAAAATTGAGAGCAAGAAATGGAACACTTACTTTCTTGTTACATGTGCCTGTCTGGAAGGAGTATGTGTGAGCCTGGACAAGGTCCATTTAATCAGTTCCCATTTAGCACTTGGCTGCTGGAGTCCCACTCATGGCTGGAGAGGAACTGTTTCCTACTTTCCTACTCTTGTGTGTCATCATTGCCCTCAAAGTAGGGGGGCTGTTGTGGTTTTGCACTCTGACCAATGCATGCAGGGCTCCGTCACACATCTGCTGGTCTGAGCATGAAGAACAAGATCGATTTATGTTTCTTTTTTGGCTGTTTGCCTCTTGGCCTAAATGATTTTATTGGTAGTTGCTAAAACTACTTTGGGTTTGCTCCAAGCATCTTTTCCCTAAGGAGAGTTCAGATTTCACAGGGGTTTACTCTGGGGCTGCTGAGCAACTCGTGAAAACTTACGCCCAGCAGAACGGCTGTTGGCACTGGAGTTCTAGGAGGAGGCCTGTGGTTGTAGGATGAGAGAGGATTGAAGATACACACTTGGTGGTAGCACTCAGATTGAAGCTAAGGGTTCCTGATGCATTTGCAGAGCGGGCCTCCCTCACTTTTATCTT